GAGAAGGAGGAGGAAGACAACAAAGAGGAGGTCCTGTCTCAGAGCCTAAGGAAACGAGACAAGAACATCAAGGAAAACAAGGCCATGGTAATAAACCCTTACAACCGGTTGGTTTTCTCAATATTCTGACACTGTGTGATCTGTCTTCCTGTGTCGGATGTCCTTTGACTCTGGTCCTCTCCGTTGTCTTTAAGTTGGCTAAGCTGTTTGCTGATCTGAGCACCATGGCTGACTTGACTCTGCCCACCACCCCTCCAGTAAGTACATGCACCAGCAACAGTTTCTTAAAGCATATAACAGAAACATGCACTCAGCGTTTAGCGATTATTGATCACTAGTAACATTATGTTACATTCATTTAAATCACCTGTAACATTATCTTACATTTATTGGCTGTGGATGTGGGTTAGATAACGTTTTTGAGTAATAATGAAGCACGGTGAAAACCTCAAGTGTGCTTAATTAATCAAACACTTGCAAACACTGTCTTTATTTTATTTCTGCAGAAGAAGAAGGCACCAGAGAAAGCAACTCCACGGAAACGCAAGTTTGAACCAAAGATGGGGTCAGAAAGGAGAAACCCATCCCGTAAGGCTCGTCCTCCCGAGAACTTTGCAGTGGAGGAAAAGAGCGAGCCACTCACCCACAGAAGCCCCAGGACTGTAGACCTAAAGAGACTGGTGGAGGTACAATATGCAACACACACTTCACACTGTGTTCTGACTTCTACAGTGTACACACAAGCCTATACAGCTCCCACCTGTGTGGGTAGTGCTATAAAGTTAATGGGTTATTATTTAAAATTTCCTAATTATATGTCAATTGCACTATTAATACAGTGCTCACTCTAGCAGGCTTTGATTGTATATTGATAAACTGACAATCAGATACGTTTTGTGTTTCAAACAAATTGGCCTGATATTACAGTGAAGTAATTTATGTACTTAAAATACACAATTATAGTCATAAATTGGTTGTCTGGTTAACTTAAATCTATGGTTTGTTGTGTAAAACTTTGTATTAAAACCTTATTGGCTTCATAGCAATGGCCTCTTTGCGGCCTCCCAGTTTTACCTGCAGTCTGACGGTTGTGATTGGGCAGGTGGACGAGGACCATGTCGGTGATGGGCGGAGAAAGAGGAAGAGCCACAGTTCCAAAAGGAGCCAGTATAATGTGAGGTCCGTCGACGAAATCACTAAAGAGGACCTGGACAACATAGCATACCGCAGCAAAGACAAGATCTGGGACAAGGAGAATGTGAGTCACATCAGGCCTTTACCCATTTAGTGCTGTCGGGGCTGGACTATACTGTCTGGGTTTTCACCATGTGTGTCTGTCTGTGTGTGTGTCTGTCTCTGTGTGTGTCTGTCTCTGTGTGTGTCTGTCTCTGTGTGTGTCTGTCTCTGTGTCTGTCTCTGTGTGTGTGTGTGTGTCTCTGTGTGTGTGTGTGTGTGTGTGTGTGTGTGTGTGTGTGTGTGTGTGTGTGTGTGTGTGTGTGTGTTTTCTTACAGGGCAGCTCGTGTCACCAGTGCAGACAGAAGACTCTGGACACCAAGACGGTGTGTCGCAGTGGTTTCTGTGTGGGAGCCAAAGGTCAGTTCTGTGGGCCGTGCCTGAAGAACCGTTATGGAGAAGATGTACGCATTGTGCTGCTCGACCCGGTCAGTGCTACTGAACACATGCTAAACCTTTCATTTTCCATTCCTCTCATTTTGGATTTGCTTAACTTGATGTGGGGAGTCTGAAAGACACCAGAAAAGAAAAATACAGTTCTTCAAACTTGAAATGGCTGAATTTTTATGTCATAATGTAAACACATTAAAAACAATCTGCTTATAAGTAATACTCTTCATTTGTTATTGGATCTTGTCACTTTATATTAAAACTATTGCAAAGTCCCACTGATGGGACAATTGAATGCAAGTCTTATGTGGCAGGAAAAGTAATAATACTGTCACTCACTACTGTGGTAATGAACTGGTCAGAGACAATACTGACAAGTTTAAAAAGCTTAAATACAATGAATTTTTTTTTACTTTACTATCTTTGAGTGTCTAGTGTTTCAAATATATCTCCCCGAAATATGTGTATACACGTTCATTTTACATAAGGAAATAATATTAAAAAATAATAAAGCTGGACTGAGTAGTCAAGAGAACAGTGGGTAACAACATAGCTCAATACATAAAGCAAAGAGCACCACCTACAGGAGTTCTAGCAGGTATGACGAGACAGAGTTGTTAAGCAAATGTAAATTGCACAATAGACATTGAGTAGCACGTTGCAGTGTATTTGAACACCGCTGACGATTTTTGTGCAGAGGTTAATGTTTCCCAGTGGATTTTTATTAATAGTAAAAGTGTTCCGTTAACAAGGGAAACTAAACACAAGGAGAGAGTAGACAAATACACTCTTTTGTTGTTTTTACAGTTGGGGCTGCTGTGCTAACAGAAGCTAACACATAGATTACAGTACAAATTAAATGTACCTTGTGCTTATCATAGTCTCAGTAAACATGGTTTTTAGGCACCTGTTTGAATTGTGTCCTTGTCTTGTTTGCTGTTGGGAGTTGCTGTCTTTGAGTTTAAGTACTAATGACACTGTCACTAGAAGTACAGTCCACCAAATCAATGACCACTTCTTAATCACAGATGTAACTGAGTGTTCTTCAGTTCAGCACCATTCAAACTCTAATTTTATAAAACCTCAACATCAATTCACTTTTGTATTAGAGTAACACAGCTGGACACCCACATTAAATTTGGATCTTTTTCTTTCTAGACTTGGTCCTGTCCCATCTGCCGTGGGATGTGTAACTGCAGTCTTTGTCGTAAGAAGGAGGGCCGCTGTGCTACCGGCATCCTGGTGGGATTGGCCCGCTACAACGGCCACGACAACGTCCATGAGTACTTGGAGAGGTACGCCGCCTCATTACACTGTACAGAACATATGCACAGTAGTTGTAAAAGCACTGATGGAAGATGTCTATCTATGATTTATTGAAATTATTAGCCATATAAGCTGTCAGCCGATGGACTTTTTTTTCTCTTTTTAAAAATTGATGGATATTTTTGTGTTTTGGACGGTAAGTTGGACAAAACAAGCAATTTTAAGACATTATTTAGAATTTTGAGAAATTGCAGTCTGTATTTTTCATAATGTTTTGACATTTTAGACTGAATTAATATTGTTTTTGATTAGATGGGGAAATTACTGACTGATCTGGAATGACAATAATCATTAGTTGCAGTCCTACTGAGAACTGTACTGACAGCAGATGGAGCTCATGTCTTGTTTTGTCGCCTTCACAGCATTCAGAAGGAACTGCAGTGAAGTCCAGAGAGAAGACCAGAGAGGACCTGCTTGTACAGCCGGTACCTGGAGCAGTCTCTGGTGCTGCACAGTACTGTAGAACTCCTTTTAATGCACATTTTTAGGTTTAGCTCAACCTTCTTATCGAACTAGAGAAACAAAATCAAAAACATGTTTTTCACCTTAACACAAGGCACATACACTGTTAATATGTTTTATATATCCTGATTTAAGGCTGCATAAAATGCAGGGATGTTTTTATTGTTGTTGTTATACTTGTTTAAAACAGTCCTCAGTTTTGTTTTATATATTTTTCATTTGAATATTTCTACTCTTCGTGTTCATTAGAGAAAATGTAAGGGTCAATATTTTCTGTGTTACGGATGCAAAAGAAGCCTTTTATACCAACTACTTTGTTTTAAAGTGAGTAACTTTGCAACGTTCTTGTCAGTCCACTGTAAATTTGAATAAAGAATGGCATTATCTAAACGATTTGCCATGTTTTTTTCCCAAACATATAGTTATGCAGTCTTTTATCAGTTGGATGCTTCTTTCAGCTCTCACAAATGTCAACAGTACACCACGGTGTCTTTAAGGAGAAAAATCAAACCTAACATTATATATTTTTTATTATTTTGGTGAGGTGCACACAACTTTTATGCTGCACCAAGTTAAGTCGTCTGTGTGTGTCTGTGTGTGTGTTGCTGCTGTGTACCTGGTGTGTTTTTCCCCAGGTGAGTGGGGTCAGATACAGGTCAAGTCTCTGTTCCTGAGGTGACAGTCAGCTGAACTTATGTAATGACCAGGTACCATTGCTGCAGGGTAGGGGTCAACCTGAGGTTACTTGGTCTTCAAAAGCATTATTGGCTTGCAATGACAGCAACAAATAGGTTTACTACATCTTCTATCTAATCACTGATTTCTTAATGATCTATCTGCAGTGCCCTGTAAGTCTCGGAGTGCACGTAAATGTGATAATAGTTTCAGCCCAGTGTTTAACACCTGTACTCTTACAGGTCTTCAGATTTTAACTGCCATTATTTTATTGGTCATAATCTACCACAATGTGTCATATAACAGCCAGTGATAAAAATAATCATTAAAAACATTAAAATGCTGTCCGCTATCATTCTTATGCTCTTAGTTCATTACATTAAACTCCTTCTTTCCCTTCAAAACTCAACAAAAACACCCAAGGGTGCAGAGAGACGTTGTGGATTGAGATGTTTTTGAAGTGCTTCAAAGGAGTGACATGTCAAAGGTATACATGAGCTGCATACTGTGTGATGCTTCTTGTACACCGTGACCTGGCGGTGAACTCACAAGTTCACTTTGATCATAGCCGAGTTTCATAGATCATGTTTTCAGAAGTGGACAGTTTATTGGCTCATTATCGGTGCACACAAACAAAAATAACTGAAGCAGCTGTGTGTAACAGGTTGTCCTGTAACCACAATGGTCACAGGTTCGATCCTCACAGCAGAAATGGCAACTGGGAACAGTAACTGTTCCCTAAGGAAGCATGGATAGATAAATCCATCATCGTCACTGCTGTCACAACAGAGATGACCCAGTAATAAGGGGGAGGGAGGAGTTAGAGTGGGTGTGTTTGTGTGTGTTGAGGAAAAAGTGTGTGAATGTGTATTTCCTATTGGTTTCCATCTGATTGATACACAAAAATCAGAGGGGGATTTAAGACCGTTTTAATCACTTTATTGTCAAGTGTTATGCAGGCAAAGTATATTTTCTGCTTGAAGTTGTCCTTTTTTTTTCTTTTTTTATTGACATAACACGTTTGTACAAACCAGTTTTAAAAATATCAATAAACTGGGGCCTTTGAGGCTAACCTGGCAAAAAACCCATTATCAAATGTCATGGAGACGAACAAACATCTTTAGAAAAAGATTTACAAATGAGATGTCACTACAAAATATCAAAGAAAGAAAAGTTGGTTGTCACACAAAATATTACCAAAAACATCTAAATTTGTTTGGTATCAACCGTTTTCAACTTTAAACAAATAGTAACTTTTTTGCTTTCTTCTTCTTTTGTTATTTATTTTTCTCCAAAAACACATTATGGCGCAAAGAGAAGAAGAAATGAACAGCAATGGTCAGACGTAGAAAAAGAAAACCGAAGCACAAAGAGTAAAGAAGAAAGAAGCAGCACTACGGCAAAAAACTGAAACATGCTGTACACGACCTCAGAATCAACGCACACAAATACCAGCAAAAAGGCAAATAGTACAAATCAAGGATAAATAATAAATTAGCCGTACACATTGGGGTCCTGTGTGTTAACACATGGGGAGGGGACTTTTTTTAAAACAACTGATAAATTCTATAAAATAAAGTATCTTTTAATTTAAAAAGAAGGTACGCACTGAACTAACACAGAGCAACACCACCAGAAAACATCTCATAATATCCACACAGCTAAATAGCCCGACCCACTCCCACCCGCAACTCTCATCACTCTGTCTCTTTACCTCTGTGCTGTGGTCTGCTCTCCGTGTAACCCCCTAATAATGCAGGAGAGCGCCCCGCTTTCTCCACCCGCCTGAGTTCCCTCTGTACGACAGCTTGTGTTAAGGCAATTGTGGTACGTCGGTTACGTGGCGGGGTTGGAGGTGGAGAGGGGTGCGTCACCAGAGCACAGGAGGCAAAAAGCAGCATCAGTGACGGTGCCGTCATCCGAATCTACCAGGTACCATCTGATGGACATGGATCATATTAAGAACTCACACTGGATAGACTGCGCAGCTGTGATGTTAAACATACCCTGTGGTATCTGCAAGGCAACCGACGACAGCACTGCTTTCAGACGTTTTTTCCTAATCTTAGAGCGAACTGGCTTGTTTTATTAACAGAGAAAACTTCCCCTGACAATGTAAACATGGTTTCACTAGGATTGTCATTATAGTATTGCTTTCACTACACAAACAAAGTTGTAGAAAGCTAGATTGTTTTTCTCTATAGAAACCTTTTTTCTAATGGCCACTGCGCCTCAATAGGAATGCATTATTTATAAATCTTTTTATATGTGCTTTTTTTCTACTCTTTTTATTTTTATTTTATTTTATTGTATTTTTTTAGAATCACCCTCCTCTCTTCTTCAATAACAGTTTATCCGTTGACTGGTCTTGAAGGAATCAACACCTGAATCTGATCTGAGGACTGAACCTGAACCATGAATAAAACTCAAATTAGGTAGATCCTCTCCATGACAGCATGGGAATACGAACGCACACTCATTCGTACAGGTCACATATACACGCACACAACATCCCAAGACTGCCCCCTGCTTTATCACCGCTCTGCAACAGCCCTGTACCATGATTGACCCCCAGCACTGTCTGACAGGTATGAAACAGGAACACAACTTTGTGCATAGAGTTAGATTCTGTTGCGATTTAGGAAAGTGTCTCTCCACGTTGGATGGTTTTAGATTCAGCAGGTTCCCCTGTCTTGTGCTAATCTAAACACTACTTACATTCCTTACCCCACCAGGCATGGAATTATTATAGATTCATTTTATAAATGCCAAACTAATTATTCATACGTGTAGACAAAATTTTTGTTATTATATCTGTTAGTTTTTTTTAGATTGTTTATATTTTTCGGTTTCTGTTCATTGCATGATCCCGTCTCTTTTGAGTCCCTTTTCATGAGAGAGCAACATTTTTAAAATGATGAAAAATGAAAAGTTAATAAAAAGGAAAATAAAAATTAGCCATCCATTTACAGTCCCTGCAAAGACTCCCAAAAAAACAGGAAGTCAGCCTTCCGCAAATAGACAGGAGTCAGTTGCCTATTCAAACTCCTCCTCTTCCTCCTCCTCTTCCTCCAGGTGATTAGAGGTGGTGGGTGTAGCAGGGTCCGAGTCACGCGAGAGGGTCGCCACAGCAACTATCTGAGGGGAGGCACCCAGGCCTTCGGGGGCGTCTTCCTCCATGTCATCAGTGGTGATGATTGCCACCGCAGCGCCGCCCTTCTTGTTCTGGTGGGTCTTGATGTGCTTGGAGAGGTGGTCGCTGCGCATGAAGCGCTTGGAGCATTCAGGACACTCAAAACGCTTTTCTCCTACATGGGAGAGGACAAAGAATTAGAGAAAAATAAATCAAGAAATGACACCTGGCTTTCTACAGATACTAAATCTGTTTGGTTTGGTTGGCCTTGCTAATTATTACAACTAAATACATGTGTAGCTTTTGGGCAAGATATTAAATTATCTGAAACTTTTGGATTAAGTACCGGATTCAAACTCGATAAAATGCTATCAAGCTCCAACCCTACCAATGTGACTAAGGTGACCCTTATCACCAGTCTGCATCCGGCTACGTGTTTCCTACCCGTGTGTGTTCTCCGGTGTCTCTGCAGCTCGTCGCTCCTGGTGAACCTCTTGCCACAGAAGATCCAGTTACAGACGAACGGCCTCTCACCGGTGTGCCAGCGCAGATGGGCCCTCAGGTGGGATGTCTTGCCGTACACCTTCCCACAGCCCTCCATATGGCAGATGTGCTGCTTCTTTTTTGTGGGGTCCCCGCTGTTCCTACAACACACACTTCAGTTAGGAGTGAGATGGAAGGGGTGTGTGTTGTGTGTGTGTGTGTGTGTGTGTGTGTGTGTGTGTGTGTGTGGTGTTTATGTAAAGGTTTTTAAAAGAGGGGGGAAAAAGGATTAAAACTAACTAAAGGCTTTTTTTTTTGGTTTCAGACTTTTAAAAAAAAAGGACTCGCTGATTATTCTAGTAAAGCTGTAGTGTGTGTTTTGGGTGCCATTACAATGTGAAGTGCTGGGTGGTGAGAGGTCGGATCTCTCACTTTAGAATACAAGCTGCACTGTGTTCTGACCATCTGTCAAACCAATTGTCCCACCATGACTGGACGGCCATCGATCATTTTGGAATAATTATAAAAATGTAAACATGGGCACAAATAACTGTAGATTTCTGACGGACAAATTTAGTTCCCCTGGTTTTCTAACCGAAAGGGGCTCAGTGAGAACTGTAGGTGGAGTGAAAAAGTGAATCACAGTAAGAATTTGATGTCCAAAAGCCAGTTTCCTTGTAAATATTTGTATTTTTGCAAGAAACCTGTTGCCCAGTGCAGCTTTAAAAAAAGTAATGACAAATTGTTCTAGAAATACAGTACATTTAGTTTGATCTTCCCTTACAAAAAAAGAGACAAATCTCACGATTCCCTATATGACTACAAATGTTGTCCTTCCTACTGCATGTATGCATGGTGCTCTGTGTTTCTAATCGTACCTTCCCTCTCCATCCCTGCAGTTCGGACAAGAGCAGGCGACGCGACGAAGCCTCTTGCTGGGCGGTCCCTCCTGGTCTGAAGAACTCTGTACGGAGCCCAGTTGGTCTGGACTCATCGATGAGCCTGATGCCACGTTGCCAACAGTGACCGTCACAGGAGACGACTGAACTTTGACCCCATCCTGACCCTGTGGTTGACCTGAAAGGTGATTTTAAAAATGTGTAAACCTATGAAGCGTTGTATTGTCTGTGGGGTAGTCTGAAGAACATATTACAATAGAGAAGGCTGACAAAGCCAGATCCAAAACAGTATTGAGTTCAGCGTCTGACATATTTGACTGAGTCAGCAGGACATCCTGGTATAGTTCAACTTTGATTGGTAAATGTACAATGTACAACAACAACAACCACACAACTGGAGATTTGAACAGGAAAGTCATTAGAGCTTCATGTTTTCTCAATAACTAATAATGCCCCCACTACCCAAGCACAATGCTTTAACATTTTTCTCATGGTAATGCCTCGATCAGTAATGGTTGAGTCACTACACATTCACACAGTTAGTCTTAGTTCGCCCTTACCCTGTAGACCAGTAATGGTGAGGGGAACACCCTGCACCTGAACCCCAGCAGTGCCCAGCCCTGCAATGCTGACCGTCTGTACCCCTGACCCTGGGTTGATCTGGGCTGCGCTCAGCGTCAGGGGAGCTCCACTCAGGGACACCAACCCGCCACTCCCCACTGTCGTCCCACCAGCCACTGGGGCCAGTGTCAGCTGCTGTGGCATGGCTGCCCCGAGGCCACCCTGCAAGGAGACCCCACCTGGCAGCTGCAGTGTTTGCCAGGTGATCTGCCCAGACGGGGACAGGGTCGGGGCACGAATGAGGACCTGGGCTGGGTTCTGGAAGGCCTGGATGGGCTGCAGGGTTTGTCCTGGGGCCAACTGGAGGGTCTGAATGTGCTGAGGTTGCTGCTGGCCCTGGGTCTGACCCTGACTCTGAGCCTGGGGCTGCAGCTGAATCTGCTGCACCAACTGGTGCCCCACCTGACCTACGATCACCTGCTGGATGGTTCCTGCTGTATCTGTCTGGTTCTGCAGCCCGTTGGCCTGGTTCTGGCTTTGAGAGTCCGCCTCACTGCTCTGCACTTGGGTGTCAGCTAGTCCACCCTCTGATCCAACAGAAACCATTTGTGTCCCATCAGACACGCTGTCACCTTCGGCTACTGCTGTCGTGCCAGTTGATGCTGTAGCAGGAGCTGCCCCAGACACTGCTGTTGTCACCAGCTGGTTGCCATTGGCAACAGAGAATGTGCCATCTGCTGATTGGATAAGCTGCACAGCTCCGCCCCCTCCAACATTATTTATCACAGGCAAAGCCAGGGTCATGCCACCGAGGTTTATGGGTACAGTGGTCATGACAGGAGTCTGGGAGCCCTGCAGAGTCTGCAGCTGCAGTGGGAAAGACTGCGCAGGGCGGATCTGCAGCGGGACCGTCTGATTGGCTGTACTTGTCAGGATGGTCTGCTGGTTGGCTGGCTGGAGGATAGTCTGGGTCTGGCTTGGACTCTGGGTCTGGATGAGCTGGACCTGCTCTGATAGACCCCCGATGGAGGCTGTGTGAGCTGGGCTGATATGGATCTGCTGTCCATCTGCTGTCTGCAGGTGAGGGATGACCTGATACTGGACCCCGCCCCCAGCATTGGGCAGGTTCTGAACCTGGATGATCTGGAACTGCTGCTGTTGCTGGTTGGCTGCAACGCTGTTGGTCCCACCTACTTGCTTCACCTGCTCCACAAGAAAGAAACAGTGAGTTAAGACAATAAACATACCAGACAACACAAAAACATTTGCTCAAACCCACTGCGTCCCCGACCTTCACCTTGCGTCCGCCAGGTGAGCTGTCATTAGCCAAGGTGGTGGCCACCGTCACAGCTACAGGCTGATTGGTGTTCTCCTTGGCCATAGTAGGCGCTGTTGTGATGATCTGCCAGCCGTTCCCTGTGAACTGAGCTGGGACCAGTTCCAGCTGCTGGGGCACCAGGGCCTGACCTCCAGCTGTGTCCACCACTATCTGACCCTGGAGCTGACCTGCCTGCAGCTGGATCTGACCAGCCTGGACCTGGATCTGCTGGGCCCCCACTTGGGCCTGGGCCCCCTCTGCTCCCCCCTGCCCTCCGATCTTACTGCAGGTGGCCGCTAGCAGAGCCAACGGAGAGGGCTGAGAAGAATCCTGGAGGAGACGGGGTAGGGGTGAGGGAGAGGGTGGGATGGGAAGGGAGGTGCAGAGAGGGTAACGGTTAAACAGGAGTGATGAGGGAGGAAGGAGAAGCCAGTCAACTCACATAAAGAGCTCATATACATACACAAACAAGAAAGTACAACATGTAAGTTAAAAAAAAAAAAAAAGCCAAAGGGAAGGGATGGGCAGGTATCACTAGGCACACTCACACAATGAATAATTTGAGAGAGAGTAAAAGAGTGAGGGGTGGGGAAAAACATCATGCAGAAAAAAGAAACACAAAAAGCTCAGAGAGAGAGAGAGAGAGAGCGCGCAAGAGAGAGAGCTGTCAGTGGAAGTGGGCGGTATTACAGGAAGCGAGTGGGTGGGCGTGTGAGAACCACATTTCTCTTTTCTCAGAACACTGGAAGAAAATGCCGCCTTCTCTCTCTCTCCTCCCTTTCAAAGGAACTAGGTCGCAGGCAAATTTTAATGCTATACACCTCTCAACACTGCACGGAAACAGCCCGGATTCAGTAACTAATACAATAGTGTGGAATAATGTAGCAACAATACTTGTCATACGCGCTTAACAACACAAAATATGCACTTAAAGAATAACTGCCTGCCTCAAATTAATCTCTATAATATATACAACCTGTGAAAAGCAGCTAGAAATAGAAGATGCACGCTTGTAGAGTCACATACCAACGCTGCGGGTCTTCAAAATGAATCCATATGCAGAATTGAATATTTTTGAGCCTAATTCAAACAGACAATTCAAAAGTACAGTGGTTGAAGTGTGACAGCCATATAAGCCTATTCAAGAAGCTCTGGGCTGGCTCTCAGCAGGGCTGCACAGAAGCAGGAAGTGGAATTCACCAGAGAAACGCCCCCAGAGGTGTCTGGCTGGCTGGCTGGGAGGGAGGAAGGGGAGTACATTTTTGGCCTACAGGCAAAGGCAAAAGTAATGAACTATAATAAACTCTTATTTCTTTTCTTTTACCTGCGATCCAGAACTTTTCCCCTTTTTAGATGCTTTCCCTCCTTCAGTTCCAGATGATTCCTTCTTCGAGTCTGTGAATAAAAAAAAAAAAAAAGAGTAAATGTGAGAATATTTCCCGTCATAATGTCATCACATGAGTATTTCTGAATAGTACAAAGTCCCAGGAGAAGACACAGTCATGTAGACACCAAGTGGCCTAAATAAAACCTGATCACAACACAGATATAGGGTAACAAAGGTGATCAATAAAGGTAGAGGAGAAACCAGTAACCTCATCATCAATATCAAAGGGGGCTTGGAGCCTCCTATCTGTCAGACACAGGGAGAGAGAGGGGTGGAGACGGAGAGGGGGAGGGTACCTACCACTCATAACGCATTAATATACCGAGAGGGAGAGGGTGTAGTTCACGGTAGAAGGCCGGCCGGGTACAGAGGCGGAGGACGGCCTATATGTTCGGCGCTGGGCCGTGGCGGATCTGCCCGTTTGACGAAACCACCCACCGGCCAGGAAGGGCGGTGCCAAGCGCAGGCACAATCAAGCAGCCCCAAATAACGGAAATAAACGAAGAACACACAGTGACCGTCCCCGGCCCGTCGGCCCCCTCGCAGCCCCGTCGTATGTCTCTTTTTACCGGATAGCCAGTCCATAAACGAGTGAAATAGCGCTTGTCAGAATGATATCCACAGAGAAGTTGGCGGTGTGTGACCGTAGAGGCCCACCCACTTCCATTTAAGCATCAGGACAACACCCTCTTCGCTGCTCCTGCCTGTCGCCGCCGTTTCTCTCGCCGCACGACGCGGGGACGCCTCGTCGCCGTCCGTCGTGCACCGAAAACAAACCGTCACCAGTGTTTGTGTTTAACGCGTATTCCCTGATTTTTCTTGTACAATTGGTTTTTTTTTATGGGGAGATACGGGGAGATAGCTGTGGCTTTTGTGGGCGGACGCGCTCCTCCCACATATTCAGATTGGACGACGGGGCTCGGCGTGCGAGGGTCGAGATGGGAGTTGTATTTTGGTGAGGCCTCGCCTTCTCGAACTGGATTGGGCGGTGGGGACTACAGCTCCCATGATGCTCCGGCAAGGTTGGAAGCGGCAGTGATGGTAGTCATGTTGGTGTGAGAGCGAGAGAGAAGGGCGGTGACTTCTGTGTTGTGGGGGGTTGGGCGAACGGGAAAGGGAGGCGTGTGTGTGTGCATGAGTGTGTGTGTGTGTGTGCATGAGTGTGTGTGTGTTTCCACTTCTGTAGGCCACACTGTGGTGTGACAGGGTGACAGTTCTGGTGAAAAAAAAAAAGAAGAGAAGAAAAGCAGTGGGGCTGAAGAGGCATTTTCACTTCCATGGAAAGCGATATGTAAATGGTAAACAATGTCACAGTGTTGCTTCTATGCTGAAATACCTTTGGTTTATTTGCCTCTGATATCTTTTCTTCCATCATTCCACTTGTTCCCATGACCACGAAACTATGACTAATTGTCAATAGGAAATAAGCTGCCAACTATTTTGTTAGTAGAGACATCGTTTAAGTTATTAATTATTATCAATCAAGCACAAATGCCAAAGGTTTGCTTGTTCCATCCTGTCTAATGTGAGGGTGCACTGCCTTTTCTTGGTTTAATTTAATTTTATATCGAATATCTTTGGATTTTGGACTGAAATTTGAAGATTGCAAAAACAATAAAACTGTTTTGGGGTATAGATAATAGCTTAAAGTATTAGTTAATTCTAGCAACAACTAACTAACTAACTAGCAACAATTCTGATTATTCATTAAGCAAATATGCAAAAAATAAATAAGAAAATCACTGGTTCCGGCTTCTCAAGTGTGAATATTTTCTTTGTCTTCTTGTTTTGGACATTTGGGTACACAAAACAACCCACTGGATAATACCAACTAGTGAAATTGTGATGGTGAGTCTAATTTAATAATTGATTAATGGAAATGGAATTGAATAATCAACAAGTTAATCAATAGTGAAAATAAATATTAGTTGCAGTCCCTCATATGTCCTTAACATGTGGACCTATTTTATTCTACTCAGATTAGTATGATACAAGTAATCCAGATGTAGCTGATGTGTGTGACTTTGCCACTGTTCAATAAATGCACTCGGGGAGTATTCGGGGCCGAGGGTTGAATCATGGGTATTTAGCAGGAGAAGAGCAGCAGAGAACACAACTGAGAAAAGTAATTTGTTGCAGAGGCAGCAATCACACAGAACTTTCTTGTTTTCTGAACCAGTCTGGAACAGAAGTCATGTCTTCCCACCCACGCACCAAAACCTCTTTCAATCTCCCAAAGGGAAATTGTGTGTTAAATGCGTGCCACAACACAGAGGTACATGTTGACGTAGTAGGCCTGTATGGTCTGAGGCAGGGGTTTTCGAAACCCCTGCCCCGTTTGTCCTCTCCTTCAGAGAAACCCTCCCTGAGCGAGCAGTGACTTTAGCCAATAGGAGTCACAGCCCCGGTTCACCAAGCAGAAAACATCATTAGCGGGCAGCCAACTGAGGATATGCCCCTGGCACACAAGGGAAATATTTAGGCTTATAGGCTGTCAGCCTACGATGCACCCAGTCACATTAACACTAAGTGAGGAGGATAGTGAAAGTTGTTCAGCACCGATATAGAGCCGTTATCAGGCTAAAGCATTCATTATCAAGACTTAATGAGTTTAAAATCTCACTTGAGGTGTAAATAACTGTATTCAACATGGCTGCTCCTGTGGTTTCCTTTTGGTCATAAGACTGCTAGTACTCTAAGCATGTTCTCACTGCTTGACTACACACACACACACACACACACACACACACACACACACACACACCTGGGGTGGCCCAGAAACATACATACAGGCCTATACACACACACATGCACTGTAATTACTGCGGAAGCCAAGTGTCTTGTTCCCGCCCCCTGGGCCACTCGGCAGGGCGTTGCTAGGCAACCGGGTCTGGTCTGAAGAAGGGTTGTTGTCTGTGTGTGTGTGTGCATGTATGGTGGTGGTGATGGAAGGGGGTGTGGTAGAGAGAAGGCTATCGTCTGTTAGAGATAACCATACTGCACATAAGATGGCTCATTACCAGTGTTCAGTGCTATAAAACTGCATGTTTGTAGTGAGGAATTTATTTACAACAGCATTAATCCTCTATAAAGTTAAATCTAACCTTTAATGATCATACCGATAACAAAAGTCCCGGAGGGGGGCTCTGCAAATTCAAGATCAATTTAGAATCAATAACAGATTAAATATAATCATGAGTGAATATTTTTACAGTGTGAACAAAGTGAAAGTGGTTGTAATTGTTTTCCAGATGCTGCCACTAGATAGCGCCATATACCAGAGGGGTCTTCATACAGTAGGTAATAACTTACTTAGACTGCATAGTCTTACCTTTCTCAGTGGTAGAGGAAGTATTCAGATCTTTAATTTATATAAAAGTAGAAATAAAACTGTACACTGTAAAAATGTTTAATTAAATGTAAAAGTTCTGCATTGCGACTAAGTGACAAAATCTACTTACATTTTTAAAGCACTTGTTGTGCGGAAAGACCTTTTTATTATGTATCTTATATTATTGTATCGGATTATTAATTATATTATTAATATAGCATCATCAATGTGGAGCTATGTTTTACTATAGTTAAATGAATTATAACAATACATCATATTTTATCAGCTGCTCATAAGTTGTGTATGTTAAGTCTTACGTAAATATTGGTGTCGATATTTCCCTCTGAAATGTAGTATGACCAGCATAAAATGAAAAAATAAGTACAGGTGCCAAGTGTAAAATATTTCAAAAGATAATATTTAAATAAACTCCATGTAATTTGTGTTTAAGATGCTTCTCCATGATCAACTTCTTTCACACTTTCTTCTATTGTATTTGGTTTTTAATCACATTAGAACAAAAGACTAAGTTCATGTCAATAGAAGCAGAAGTATATGAACAGTATGAATTACCTTTGACTTCAAAACAGACTGTTGTTTTTTTCCTGTATTTGACAGGACAGCGTGAGAGATGAACAGGAAAGGGGGAGAGAGAGAGAGAGGTGATGACATGCAGCCAAGGGTCATGGGTCAAATTTGAACCGATGGCCTCTGCAGCAAGGCCTGAGCATTGGAACTACCAGGGTCGCCCCCAATGACCAAACACAAAACAACAACTACAACAGAAGAAAATCTGCAGGGCGAGATTCGAGGCTGTTTAAGAACAAATCCAGAAAGTGCAAATGAGCTCACGTGTATCTGTTGCATGTTCTACAATCTTGACATGAAGATTGATCAAAGCTGAAATTTGTTTAGTGCTCAGCCAATACTTTTTAATAATAATCTTCCATGTCGGCCCAAGTCAAAGTGGAAAAAGAAAATGATTTAAGAGTAATTGTCCCGACATCAACACTGCACTCCAGACACGATGCTGCCCCTCTAAGCGACAGAGCATCATTTCAAACGGCTCTGATGGATTTGATATGTAGCTCGGAGGAGACTGCATTGATTACGAAACGCGAGGGTGTGTGCGTGCGCAGGAATGTGAGGTTGAAATGGTGCATCTACGCATGAGCTTGTTGGCATGTGTGAGTCAGTGCATGCTTGCGTGCAGTTATGCTTTTTGAATTTTTTTTGCTTTCTGCACACACATGTACGCGTAGGTGTGCATTTGTCACAGGCGGCCTCGGCGTCAGAATGTCTCCCTTTCCTAAAGGTTAGGTTGTAAAGACAGAGAGATTTATGACTTCTACCATGAGTTAATGTTTTGGCAGATGCCTCTGGTGTGTGTGTGTGTGTGTGTGTGTGTGTGTGTGTGTGTGTGTGTGTGTGTGTGTGTGTGTGTGTGTGTGTGTGTGTGTGTGTGTGTGTGTGTGTGTGTGTGTGTGTGTGTGTGTGTGATATAGACCTGGAGAACTTGTTGACAGGTGATAGATACAATAGACAGTAATTTTGGACTCATCCTTTAGTGCCCGTAAATGTGAATGACAACAGGTGATGTCACTGCTTCGCTATGGCTCATCATCATAACTTTACACTACAGCAGACAGACACACACACACAAAACAACATTGTGGATGATTGGGAAACTTGCTGTAGATTGTAATTATCTCTCCACTTTCTATCTATGAAGTATGAACACAGTAACCCGACGAGATGTATCCTGGCATTATAAAAAGATCTTTTTTTTTATTCCTGGAAACATGACACATCACATTACACTGTGCTGGATGTGCATGAAGCTCTGTGAAAGTTGGCAGCGTCTCACTTTAATGATAGTTGAATGATTGATGCTTCCTGCTGTCTGGATCAAGTGGAAAACAACCAGTGTTTCTCAGTGGGCCCGGTGCCAGTTCAGGGTGTGGGTGGTTTAACCCACAAGGAGAAACACCTTTGTCAAGCTTTTTTTTTCTCTAGCTGGATTTTGTTTTAGCATACATGCTACATCATGACTTCACAAAGTGCATTACTTGTTTTTGTTTTGAAACGCCAGTTGAGGAGTAATCGCTCTAATAGAGTGGTTTCCAACCTTTCTGGCTCGTGAGCCCTTGAAACAAAACCACATCTTCTTGTGAGAACATTTTATTTTCAGTGCTTTTCTCATTAGCTTTTGTTCAAATAGGGAAGGTGTCTCTGTGTTGAATATACTAGAAAACTTGTGCAGACTGAAAGTATCCAAATCATTTGCAAGATAAAAATATTAGATCTAAAAATAAAAAAAACACTTACTTAGACTTACTTAGACCTATTGTAATAACTTACTGTGTATCACTGCTTTGTTTTCGTTTTATGATTGTCTTGTTATATTGCTTCCTGTGCCTGTAGACTGTCTTTAAGTGCTTTGGAAAATGCATTCAAATAAAATACATTATTGTCATTATTGTTGTTATTGTGATTATTATTTTAAAGAGCTACCTCAACTCAGATACTGTAATATAATAGATTGCCTTAATGGCTTTAGCAGATGATATGTGATCGGATTCATTGCCTGTTGATGGGATTGGCACCAAAACGTCCCTTAAAACAAGTCAAA